GAGGTACGAGGGTTCAGTGATACTCAGAAAGAGGAGTACTTTAGGAAGAGGATCAGTGATCAGAGCCTGGCCAATAAAATCATCACACACATGAAGTCTTCAAGAAGCCTCTACATCATGTGCCACATCCCAGTCTTCTGCTGGATTTCAGCCACTGTTCTAGAGAGAATGTTGGTTGAAGCAGAGAGTGGAGAGATCCCCAAGACTCTGACTCAAATGTTCACACACTTCCTGATCTTTCAGATCAAACACAAGGACCAAAAGTACCATCAGAAGTGTGACTCTGATCCTCAGCAGACCACAGAGAGTATCCTGGCACTGGGAAAACTGGCTTTCCAACAGCTGGAGAAAGGAAACCTGATCTTCTATGAGGAAGACCTGAGAGAGTGTGGCATTGATGTCAGAGAAGCTTCGGTGTACTCAGGAGTGTGTACCCAAATCTTCAGAGAGGAGTTTGGGCTTCACCTGGGGAAGGTGTTCAGCTTTGTACATCTGAGTGTTCAGGAGTTTCTGGCTGCTTTATACGCATTTCTCTCCTTTGTCTTGAAAAAGAGAAATGTGTTTGTGGAGCAAAGGACTAGAATTTTCCATAGCTTCAGAAATCGAAAGATGTATGCCTTCCTGAAGAGTGCAGTGGACAAGGCCTTACAGAGTGAGAATGGACACCTGGACCTGTTCCTCCGCTTCCTTCTGGGTCTCTCACTGGAGTCCAATCAGACTCTCTTACAAGACCTCCTGCCTCAAACAAGAAGCAGCTCTCAAAGCAAACAGAAAACAGTCGAGTACATCAAGAAGAAGATCAGGGAGAATCCATCTCCAGAGAAATCCATCAATCTGTTCCACTGTCTCAATGAACTGAATGATCGTTCTCTAGTGCAAGAAGTACAACATTACCTGAACAGAACAGATAACAGTCGTCTCAGTGGAATCAGACTCTCTCCTGCTCAGTGGTCAGCTCTGGTGTTTGTAATTCTGAACTCAGAAGAAGAGCTGGATGTATTTGATTTGAGTAAATATGACAGATCAGATGAGTGTCTTCTGAGGCTGCTGCCAGTCGTTAAAGCCTCCAGAAAAGCTGTGTGAGTATGTTTATTCAAAAATGTATTATTGCAGTGTTTGTTTTTAATGTAACATGTATGTAATGTAATGTAACTTTTAGGTTTAACTTTTCTTTTCTTTATTAGATTATCACATATCACTCTTATGGATAAACGTTTTGGGTAATTTACTGCACTGCAGTGGAGAGTTTATAATTTATATTTTGCACCCATAGAAAGAGAGATTAGGATCAAGGCATTTAAAATATGTCTGTGCATTACAGTGTTTAATCAGAAACTTATTTGGTCTGTAAGTAAATGGAGGTATTCACCTCGATAATTTTGCATATGTGGAATGGGGAACAAGCTATGAGGAAAAAGGACTTCTTAAAAATTGGTGAAAAAGTGAAAGAATTTATTCCAGTGAAGCAGACCCAGGCCAAGAACCCAACATTTACAATATATATGTCTTAACCACATATGCAAAAATTTGGTATCCTTTTGGCTGAAACAGTCATATTAATCCTGGTCCTGTTCCCATACTATGATTTGCATAACTCCCTGGAGTGCATGTGATGCCAGACACGAAGACGTTTCTTTTTTGCTATGATGATTGGGGCATTTGCTTATGATGTGGAAGAGAGGAACTCGGAGAAACACCAAATCAAAACTCCACATTTCTGGAAGACGCTGCAATTCCCTATAAAACCATTAGTAAATTACTAGTCAAATCAAGTCAACTTTATTTATATAGTACATTTAATAGACAAGTGTTGGCCAAAGTGCTGTATATCATCTCAGCTAAATCCAGGCATTAATGAAATAAAATAAAATTAAATAAATGAATAAAATAATAATGCAAATAAAACTGAACCAGTAAATCAAAAGAGAAATAAAAACATTAAAAGATAAAATCATGGATTAAAAGACACAACAAAAGAAGACCCAATACTACAGATCTGAAAAACATTCAAATCCCTGGGCAAATAAATATGTTTTTAGATTGGATTTAAAAATGTCTTAAGTGGGGGATGCCTTTATGGAAAAGGGTAAGCTGTTCCATAATCTCAGAGCTGCGATAGAAAAGGCTTGGTCAACTCTGAACTGCTTGTGTCCATGGAAAAGTTAAAAGCAGCTGGTTAGATGATCTTAACTCTCTGGAGGTATAGTAAATAACAAAGCCTTGAATGGTACTTGACTGGCAGCCAGTGAAGGGAGGCCAAGACAGGAGAGATGCGTTCCCTCTTTTTGGTGCTGGTCAGGAGCCAAGCAGCAGCATTTTGAACCAGTTGAAGATGGGACAGGGTTGACTGACTGAGTCCTGTGTAGAGGGAATTGCAAAAATCAGTTCAAGAGGAAATGAAAATGAGAATAACAGTCTCCAGATCTTTAAATTATAAGACATGTTTTAATTTGGCAATACTTCTCAGTTTAAAAAAGGTTCCTCTCACAACTGAGTTTAACTGCTTTTTAAATTTCAGAACTGAGTTGAAAATGATACTTTTTGTTTGTATAGCTTTATACATGCACCAATTTGTCACCTACAGTTTTTGTAGAGTCCGGATGACCAAATATAAAGTCTTTTCATTATTTAATTATTGATTATCCATAAAAAAAAATCAACAAGAATTTGCAGAGAGCCAATTTCATCAGGTTTCAACAGGAGATAGAACTTTGTGTGTCATCATGTGTGTAAAAATGATAGAAAATATTTTATTTATGGAAAATGGTCCCAAGGGGAAGTGTGTAAAAAAAGAATAACATGGGACCCAGGATGGAGCCCTGACTTTAGAACAGTCCCCTGGATGCCAGCACCACATTTTAGATGATCTGGCAGAATGGCATGATTTACTTTCTCATACGCTGTAAAAATAATATAGATCACTTTCTTGAGTCTACAGTTAAAAGTAAATCATTATATGCTTTGAGGAGCACAGACTCTCTACTATGGTCTGCTCTAATTGGACTAGAGTTTCTCCAAAATATCACTTACAGCGAGATTTTGAAGTAGCTTAGAGATCTGTCTAAAATGATTGAGAACAGATGGGACTAGACTTGGCTTTTGATAAGATGCTGGATGACTGTGTGTTTAAACAAGAAGGAACAGAACCACTCTCTAGGCAGCTGTTTATTATGGACAGGATGCTGGGAACAACAACATGCAACACATCTCTAATAAGAAGTGCAAGTGCTTAATAGTAGTTTGTCAATGCAATATAACAGGAATAAAAAAGTGAACTGGACATATGAACTTTATAATTCATGCATAAGGCATTACTTCATTTTGCCAGCTGCATTTCTCTGTGTGCGTGTGTGTGTGTGTTGGGGTGAAGCACAGCGTTATGTGGGTATAGTAATACAGAAGTCAGTGTAAATACAGCATAAAGATAGAAACACAATGATATCTGATATATTATCATTTCTCTCCCAGGTTGTGTGGTTGTTATCTGACAGAGGAGAGCTGTAGAGTTCTGTCCTCAGTTCTCGGCTCAAACTCCTCCAGTCTGAGAGAACTGGACCTGAGTGAGAACAATCTGCAGGATTCAGGAGTGAAGCTGCTCTCTGCTGGACTGGAGAATCCACACTGTACACTGGAGATACTGAGGTCAGAGCATTACTTACTCACTGTGGATACAGATCTCTAGATTTTTTTTATTACACAAAAAATTTTTTGCTTGAAGAGACATACTTCATGTTAAAAGGTCTGTTAAAATTTTCCAACAAGCCAATATTTTGATGTGTAAAAACTAACAAACAGTAACTTTAGGTTAAGATGTAGCACTAAACTAATCACATGCATTAATAATAGTTATTAGGATTAAGTTGTGTGTGTGTGTCTTGGACTGGAAATGTGTGTAATTTTTCTCCTTCTCTCTCTATAGGCTGTGTAACTGCAGTATTACAGGTGAAGGCTGTGTTTCTCTGACTTCAGCTCTGAAATCAAACCCTTCATCACACCTGAGAGAACTGAACCTGAAATATAATAATCCAGGAGAATCAGGAGTGAAGCTGCTCTCTGATCTACTGAAGGATCCACACTGTAAACTGGAGAAACTACAGTGAGTCATTCAATTGTGTCTCACACACACACACACACACACATATGCATGTAAGTGTGTATTTTTGTTGCTCTGTCCCTGGTATTTACAAACACTGTAGGAAATCACTGACTTACTGTGTCTTTGTAGACACATAAAAGATACACATGCCAGACTGTATTCAGACTCACGAATTTAAGTTCAAAAGTTACATCAATATTTATGTGGGGAAAAGTTCCTCGTATTCAGAGTTGGGTTACGCAGCTACTCGCCTTTAAACCTGAAAGAAAAATAACCAGGGGCATTGTCATGGTTTGGGTCTCTTAGTTCCAGTGAAGGGAAGCTGTAAAGCTACAGCACACAGAAACATTCTATGTGTGCTTCAGACTTTGTGGAAGCACCAGATATGAGTGTGATGCTCAGAGGTGCACATACTTTTGGCATATAAGAAGATGGAGAACATTGAAATAAATCTGTTTAATTTAACAATATGGCTTCCACACTTGTTATTCAGTAGCTTATAAAATAGCACTTGATCCAGTGTCAGCATCCTACCTCATCAGTGAAGTGAAGTGAAGTGACTTGTGGCCAAGTATGGTGACCCATACTCAGAATTTGTGCTCTCCATTTAACCCATCCAAGTGCACACACACACAGTAGTGAACACACACCCAGAGCAGTGGGCAGCCTTTTTTTTGCTGCGGCGCCCGGGGAGCAGTTGGGGGTTCGGTGCCTTGCTCAAGGGTCTCACCTCAGTCGTGGTATTGAGGGTGGGAGAGAGCGCTGGTCATTCACTCCCCCCCACCTACAATCCCTGCCGGACCCGAGACTCGAACCCACAACCTTCAGGTTCACCTTCGGGTTCCAAGGCCGAGACTCTATCCATTAGGCCAGGACTGGCCCCAAATTATTGGACGTGCTGGATCGTCACAAGCCGGGCTCGAACTCGGGTCTCTGGTGTGGTAGTTGAAAGCTCTACCACTTAGCCACAGAGGCAGCTTAGCCACTACCTCCTGTAGTTGGTCTCCATGCCTCTAGAGGCCCCTGTGTTCCCCTCTGCCTTAGTTCTTCCTCGTGTGTCCTTGTTAGCATTATCCAGGTCACCTGTGCCTTGTTTCCCCTAGGGTATTTTAGTTGTGTTTTTTCCCCTTGTTCCTCACTTGGTTTTTGAGTCTTGGCTGGGAGTTTCCTGCGTTGTTTCACCAAGTCCTTCCAAGCTACCTCAAGTAAGGTGTTCTTAGTTATTTGTTTGTTAATGTTCTCTTGTTTTGTTTTCTCCCCTCGTGGAGTTTTTATTTTCCCATGTGGTTGTTTTTTTTTTGCAAAGACTTTTTTTAAACTAAATCTACATTGCCTGGAGTACTGCCTTGAGTGTTTCGTTTAGGTCCGACATCGCTGCCTCTGTGGCTAAGTGGTAGAGCTTTCAACTACTACACCAGAGACCCGTGTTCAAGCCCAGCTTGTGCCGATCCAGCACATCTAATAATTTGAATTTTAGACTTATATTGAGTGCAGATATTTACTCATTCCCACAACCTAATGAAGCCACAATATACTGAATCAAGTTTATGAAAACAGAATGTGTGGAATATAGGAAACTTTATGACACTCTTTAGTTCATTCATTTGATTTGAATTAATAAAATAATGCCAAAGCTTTTGTTATTTTGATGCACTCTTCTGTATGGAAAGTGCCCATACTTTGAAGGATAAGCTGACTTATCTGCTATGCTTACAATTCACTTTAAGTTAAAAACTGGACCCGCTGCAGTTTGTGTAGCACCAAAACCATTCCACAGAGGATACTATCTCTCATACTCTTCACCTGTCACTAACCCTCCTCGACAAGAAGAATACATGTGTCACAATGCTGTTCATAGACTTCAGTTCAGCATTCAACACCATCATCCCCCAGCAGCTGATTGATAATCTGGACCTGCTAGGTTTCAGCACCTCCCTCTGTAACTGGATCCTGGACTTCCTCACTTGGAGACCCCAGTCAGTTTGGGTCAACAGCGAGACCACCACCAGCATCACCCTGAGCACTAGTGAACCCCAGGGCTTTGTGCTCAGCCCACTGCTGTTCATGCTGCTAACCCACGACTGCAATGCCAGATCAGGCTCAAACTACATCATCAAGTTCTCTGGTGACACCGTAGTAGTCGGCCGCAGTGACAGCGATGAGACGTCTTGCAGAGATGAAGTGGAGCATCTTACAGGCTCACAAGAACAACAATCTGTCTCTGAATGTTGACAAAACAAAAGAAATGACTGTTTACTTTGGGAAGTCCTACATTGATTATCACCCCCCAACCAAACCCCCCAGGCCATATTTGCTGCACAGTGGAGAGAGTGATGAGCACCATGTTACTTGGCATTCACATCACAGAAGATCTCACCCGGACAACCAACATCAGCTCCCTGACCAAGAAAGCCCAGCAGCATCTGCACTTCCTCCGGCACCTGAAGAACAACTCTCCACCCATCCTCACCACATTCTACAGGGGAACCATAGAGAGTGTCCTGACCAGCTGCATCACTGTCTGGTTTGGAAATTGCAACTTCTCTGATCACAGGATCTTTCAGAGGATAATACGGACAGCTGAACACATCATCGGTGCTCCTTTATCTGCTGTTCAGGACATTTTCCACTTAAGCAGTATCTGCAAGGCGTCCAGCATTGTGGACGATCCCTCCCACCCCTCCTACAATCTGTTTGCCCCTCTGCCATATGGCAGAAGGCTCTGCAGCATCTTCTCAAGGACTGCCAGACTGGGTAAGAGCTTCTACCCCTAGGCTGTCAGACTCTTGAACACTGTGCTGCCCCTCTCTACACACCCTGGGATCCATGCAGACACTTTGATTGTACTGACTCATTACAGTACTGCACTGTCACTTTAAACATCATTCATCTCAGGTTTCTTTTATAAGCATAACTGTACTGACACCTTCTACTAAATTCATTCTAGTTGCAACTTTGGACGTTGTGTTTACTGTAATGTCTTATTTTCATTCTAAATGTACTTTTTTGTGAGTATTAAAGCTCTGCTGCCCCTAACTGTTTCCCATACCCTCCTCCCTGCATGCTTCTATTTCCACTTATGTCCACTTACGTCCTGTCAGCACTGTATGTCATACATGTATCTCGCACCTCGGATCCAAGAGAAATGTTATTTCATCTTGATGTGTACTGCACACTGTATATGGCTGTGATGACAATAAAGATCTATATGACTTGACTTGAAATCACAAATTTAAAATGTTTAGGATAGCTATTGTACAGTATAAAGGACTGGACGTAATATAATTATAATTTTGGGTCCACAAAATATAATTTGGGTCCGCTGTGTGTGTGTATTAATGGAGTATTTTCTCCCAGGCTGTGTCAGTGCAACCTCACAGAGAAAAGCTGTAAAGATCTGTCCTCAGTTCTCAGCTCAGACTCTGAAACTAGTCTGAGAGAACTGGACCTGAATAACAACAATCTGCAGGATTCAGGAGTGATGCTGCTCTCTGCTGGACTGAAGAATCCACACTGTACACTGGAGATACTGAGGTCAGATCTCACACACACACACACACACACACACACACACACACACACACACACACCCTTGTGATTAGAACACAAGTAACGAAATAAGGTCCATAAGAGTAAGGTTTTTGTGTTATGGCTGCATGTGTGCCATCTTTTGCCCCAACTACATTCAGAAAGTCTGTGATGGTGTGAAAATCTCTGGTTATTGTTGTCTTTGCACACCAGTATTTGGAAATGTTATGTATTGCAGAATGATAATATAGCTGTAATACAGATAATTTAGTAGGGTGTCCTGGAGCTTACTGGTCCAGATACACCTCTTTTCATGCAGTGAATATGACTGCATATACAGTAAGACACACATCATTATTTGGCTCATAGTTGGTTTGGAATTGCCAGACCAAGTTCTCCTTGAAATTTGCCCATGGTTTAAAACTTTGCAATAGAGATAAACTGAAGCTGCACCAGACAACATGCTAACATGATTAACAATAATTGGGATGAAAGCTTGTCCTAATTATAATCACTAAATATACACACTGTCATGGACTTTGAAAGAATGGGAGTACATGAAACTGGATACAGGTGCTCAAAGGATTTAATGAAGGTAAGTGAAAACAACAACAACAAAAATAAAACTCAGAATATTCACAGAAAAAGAAGATAGGAAGATTGGGGAGGTTGGTAAAGGAGGACACACTGGAATGGTGTCATTCATAGATAGATAGATAGATAGATAGATAGATAGATAGATCACTTTCCCAGAAAGTGAAATTCATACTTGAAGAACAGTTCAGTCTAGTCTGGCAGAGGAAGGGGTTCCAAGGTCACTTTTTGTTAACTAACATTGTGTTTCAGCTTGGGCACAGACTGAGCATGAGGAGACCACTAAACATCGGTATGAAAAGAGGACCATCGGTATTTTTGTGTGAGCAGTTGTCTGTGGGTGGGTCTGTGAGAGGGCCCGGGATCACTGATAGCAGCTTCCTGAATTTCCCGATCAATATCCAGTGGATGTGATTGACCAGGCAGAGACGTCTAGATGAAGTGACTCCTTGATAGCTAGAATTTCATGATTGCCTACATCATAATTTTGTTCTACAGTAGTGAGCTGGGTGTAGGCCACTGGGTGTAGTTTAGCTGGAGGTCCTAGATGTTGGGATAAGACAGTCCCCATTCCCTCCTCAGAAGCATCCACCTCAACCACAAATGGTTGTTCTGGATCTGGCTGATATAGGATAGGCACTGAAGAGAACAGAAGTTTCAATTGAGAGAATGCTGCCACAGCTGCTGGTGACCAGGAGAGCCTGCATGTAGCACCTGAACATTGAAAAAAATTAGCAAATCATAGGAATCTTTGGAGTTCCTTGATGGTTTTAGGCATCAGCCACTCCAACACTGCTTTGACTTTCTCCTCCACGTGCACTCTCTCTGGATTCATGATATATTCTAGAAAAGGGACAGATGTTAAATATAATTGACACTTCCCCAACTTCACATGCACTCTATGTTTCAGACACCTTGTCAATACTGTCCTCACATGACTGACTTGCTCCTCCATGGTAGATGAGTAGACTTAGATGTCATCAATATAGGCCATGATGAATGGATGGAGCACTTCACAGAAAACATCACTGATAAAAGACTGAAACATGAAGGGAGTATATTAGACAGTCCATATGGCATGATGAGGTTTTTAATGTGTCCAGGTGAGGTATGTAATGGTTAATGATACCCAAGATGGCAGCTATGGTGTTGTGGAATCTTGTCCTATGTCTGTCTTTTTGTGTATTTTTTTGACAATGGTGATTCAGTTTAGATTCAGTATTCAAGGGACATGCTTCTCAATATCAGGAGAACTGTACAGGATGATCAGTGCCTGCAGTTTTAACCCAATCCATGGATTTATTAGTGCTGCTCCTGAAGTGTACTCCTGCAGCTCTCCAAGCTGCATGAAAAAGACGGAGAGAGAAGTGTGCTGGAGCACTGGTCAGATTTAGGAAGAGAGGCCTGCAATCTCCACTCCCCGCAATATTCCTGTCTAACATGTGCTCAATTTGTAACAAGATCAACAAACACAAAATCCTTGCAAGCACAAAAAAGGACTTTTCAGTGACTTCAGTTTACTGCTTCGCAAGACATGGCTGAATGACGTGATTCCCAATGCTGTACTGGAATTACCAGGATTTCAACTATACAGAGCAGATTGAGCTGCTGATCTTTGCAATTAGAAAAAAACGGAGGAAGCGTGCACTTCTATATTACTCAAGGCTGGTGAAAGGATGTATCTGTCATCTCAAAAATATGCTCCATCAATATGGAGGTAATGTTTCTCAAATGCGATCCTTTTTACTCACCCCATGAATTTGCATCTGTTATACTGGCTGGGATTTATATTCCCACACTGGCCAATGCTTACCAGACACAACAAGAATTAGCAGACATGGTCACGGTTATTG